TGTACTTATAAATAGATCATATATATACATGTATTTTTTATATAAGATTTATTTTCAAAAATATTTTTTATGACATAAAACATAATAATTATCAATGTTACAATAATTCTATTTAACAATGAAATATTGCTGAAACATTGAAAAGATATAACGGAACGTAAGTTTAAACGATACCCATAATATATACTACATTCACATTTACTCATTTTATATTATGTACGTAATATAATAATATCCTAAAGATATCATTGTGAAATTCCTTTTCATAGAAATTTATATGAATACATTATATATAAGTTATTTTAATTTATCTCCTTTTTCAGGAATATTCTGCGAGCATAATATAATGACACTTTTTAAATTATTTTTTCCTAATATCATTCTTATGATGTAATTATTTATATTTATCCATAGATGATTCTAAATAATTTAAGATATTAATATCTAATAAAAACATTTAGGGGTTGTCCCTACCTATTTTTAGTATATTACTAGTTATTCTTACGAATCAAAACCTTCTATTTTTATATCTAGATGAATTCGTTCACATAATAGAACATGGTGGAATAAACATTGTTATTTTGTATTATATAGTTTCTTATTCTCCTAAAATAACATAATAATATGCTATAAACAAATTATGGGATTGTAAATAAATTTTTTTAAAAGATATTAAAAGAATATTTTAATTTGAAATGTTTATTAGTAGTGCCTTCTTTTTCACAATGCAAGTTTCAGAATTGTCATTAATGTGGACACATTTTTTTATGTTAACACAAATGTATGTAAAATATATATCAAAATTTATATGACTAATCCATACACATTCTTCATATTCCTTTTGACTTTCACATATAAATTTTATAGTATTAATAAATAAGAAGAATGCGTATTTTTTGAAAAATACATAACTGTTAATACAATTATTTTTAACTGGAATTACATGTTAATCACATATGGTTATTAAATAAATGAATGCACATTAACATATTAAAATTTTTATAAAAAATTCACAGTGTACTCCATTAAAAAGACACTTTAATATTCAAAAGACAAAAAATAAATAAAATAATCCTGGGATAACATTGACATTTATATAGTAGGTATTTAATAATGGGATTTTTTTTTTGGAACTTTTATTTCTACTATTATTACATAGGCCATCACATATATTCTTTTTCTTTATTTTTTTTTCCGGATTCGCTTTCACTATTTTATTTTGTACCAGCTTAAGTTTTCGTCTCATCTATTCCAGTCATCCTATTTTTTTTTTTTAGAATTGTCTACCACGCAAACTTCTTTCAAAAAATCTTTAAAATATAAAGGAATTGTAGACATTCTATCTGTTAGATACACTTCAATACCTTTTGGAGGATATTTAGGGTCATTCAATCTTATTTGCATGAGATTATGTAAATATATTAAATTTCTAACAAAGATTTCGTCCCATTCTTTCTTTATTTCCATTTCTATGTTTTTTGTTTTTTCATAATATTCCCCTTCCATATATTGAACTAAATTTTTCCATTGTGCTGTTAATTTGGGGCATAATTCTTTTAAGATTTCATTATCTTTGTTCGGTGCGTTTTCTAGAAAAAAATCTTTTTTATATCGATCTTTATCAAAAAATTCTGCCATTTTTCTTTGAAACCGACGATTTAACAAAATTTTAGTTATATTATATTGATGCATTGGGCTATTCATATGTGTGCTACTACACAGGGAAAGAAAACATTATATATTTTATATTTATTATTAAATATATTTTTTCCTAAGGGTATATTTTTTATATGTACACATAATATTTTCATACATTAGTGGTGAAAATATATGTATACATGAAAATAAAATGGAGTGCTATATTATGATATACGCACGTTATTGAAAAAGTTAAATATTACTTTACGAAGTAAGAATAATTATGTTTCCATATTAATATAAACATAAATATAACATTAAGAACAAGTATTTTCACGTTTATTTTAGTATTTTTACATTCTGGCGCTGTGGTAGTATCTGACCACTTCCCAGTAGATGTTACTTTTGTTATCCCCATTTTGCTCATAGTGTAGGATATAATAGCTAAATATTTACTTTATTCAACAAAATATTATGATTAATTTTTTTGTAATAGTTTTGAAAATAATAATTTCACTATCATAACAACACTTTTATTAAAATGAATTCTCTGTCTCTTAGTTTAGAAGTATTAAGATATCACCTCGTACATATGAATTTGAAAAAACAGGAAAGTTTCGCTTTTTTTGAAAACATATAATTTAAAATAACAGAAGAAATAATACAATATCGTTGTTTATAGATTTTTATGCGATAAAAAAAAAAAAAATTTATACATAAAATTACTTTATGCATTCACTGTCTGCGGAAAATTAATATTAACATAATAATTTATTAAGAAAGATATATTGATATTTACAAAAAAAATCATATGGTAATTATTTTTAAATTCATATATTTTTTATTCTGATAAATGCATTTTGAATATAATTTAACGAAACGGATAATTAAATTGTTTTGCAACCTCATAGAAACCACAATGACACTAATAATTTTTTCAAAAAATATGGATAAGCTTTAATTTTTTAAATGTGCATGTAGTTATTTGGTTCCAAAGATATATACACTTAATACATTTAATAAATAAAAACATATTAGTAAATATATATAAAAAACATTTTTTTTTTTTTTTTTTTTTTTTTTTTTATATACGTCAAATTTATCATGCTACACTGATTACTTTTTACTATTTTTTGTTTTATTAGATTAAAAAAGTAGCAAATCCCTAAAAACAAAAAAAGTAATGAAATTACTCAAAAGGAAAACAATAAGATAATAATAAAATATAATAAAAATCATATCTATATATATAAAGCAATTTCTATGAAAGTATTTTTATATTCATTTATTTGTACCTAAGTTACATAGAATTGTTTTTTTAATACATCAGTTCTTAGCAAAATATATTACCTAACAATAAATTTATCGCATTTCAATTTTTTTTGGTGAAACATTTAGCCATACAATAAATTAAGTATTTTTTGAAGATTATATCATTTTTCTATATATAAAAAAAAAAATTATCCATAATAAATACACTGTTTTATTATTCTTCTTGAAACTTACAATACCTTACAAGTAACATGTAAAGTGAAATGGAAAAGCAGGAAATGATGATTATTTTTAAGATATAAAAAATAAATGTTATATTAGGTATTCTATAGATATATGTTTACATGTATGAATGTTATAATATAATAATAATATACATTTAAAAAGAAATTGTATAGCACAAAAGTACAGAATCCAATTGTCTGAACTGCATTAAGTTTTTTTTAGTGTATATGTATCGAATTTACAAGGAAAAAAAAACATCTCATAATGTATATAAAAGTATCCTAATATATGAGGTGAAATATGTATATATATAAGTGTAATCAAATTAATGTATATATATACATTGCTATTCTATTTTGCAACGGATTTTACATATATTTTCATTAAAATTACGTATTACGCATGTGATTACTAATAATATTTATAATTTTTTCATCATTTCACATGATCATGTCTTCGTATATTTATAAAAATAAATTATGTATTTTATTTTAATAGCATAAGCACATTATTATTTTATGATCCCTCCGAAAATGTAAATTTTTTGCTCTGTAGGAATTTGTGCGAACATAGAAAAAAGCATTTTTCTTTTAAAAAGTAATATAAAAAAAAATATATGATTTGAGGAAACATTTTTAATGAAGGAAAATTATAATAATGGCCTAAATGAGGAATGATGAATATTTAGAAAAATTCTATTCTTTCTTTATTTGTACATTAATTTTTTACTTTGCACCTGTATAAGGTATAATTTTTTTTTTCTATATATATCAAATTCAATGTATGTTCAGATATTAGGTTTCTCATTTTTTATTTGTACAAATATTTTAGAAATATATTTATTGTTTTTATCTTGTCTTTATAATGTGTATAAAACTTTGATTACGTATTCATGCGTACAAATATAAAAATATGCCTTATGCATATTCAATTTATAGCATAATTATAAATCTATTCCTTCATATTTTTATAGCTATGTATAATGAAATAATATATTATGATAAAATATTAAATAATTAAATTAATATTCAAATTATTCATAATTTGTATATTTAGCATAATTATGCATCATCATATTATAGCTTAAAAATATATGATGTTTTTTCAAATTAATTAAAAATTAACGTGTAAACATCACAACTTAGAGAAGTGTCACATAAGTAATATAAAATATCTAGATTATATAAATATAGTTAACAAATTGGAATAAAACAAACATATGCAATGAAGCAAAAAAAAGCATGAACAGAGGATGTTTTATATTTAGTGCCCTTCCATATAAAAATAAAATAATATGTAATGTTACATTACATCTTAATATTATAAATTTAGAGACACATAATATTATAATATTTTAACATAGTGTAAGATTAATAAAAAAATCAATAATACAAGGATTATTATATATAAATGTATTTAACATATGGGAATACATTTTCTGCAATATTATATAATAAAATAGAGCAACATATATAAAAGTAATTTATATCAAACATATTAAATTATTGTTGAAGCATACGATATCTATTCTACTAATTTATTATGCTATATAGTGTATTATCCTTTCACATTGAATACATTTTTTTTTAACATAAAATCATCGTAATCATGAAAAAAGTCATATATTAGAGAAAGAAGATAATAAAGCAATACGTATAGTATTTTCATTCGATATTTACACACATGATGAATAATATTTTGAACAATATTATACCCAATATACTTATAATTTGTTGTATTATATTCTTAAGTCTCTATTTTATTTTGTTTAACAGTATTATATGAATTATTTCATTTTTATGCTAAGATATTATGAGAAATATTTACCTTATGTTTAGAACGAAATTATATATTTACTCGTACAATTATGTAGATTTATATAATATATTATATATATTATTCGTTGATGCATTGGTGGATATTTCAGATAATTGAAATCTATTTCGTTCTTCGCTTTCATTATTCCACGTATTTATTCTGTTCTTTAGAGTAAGGCTCAAGTATGCACCAAAAGGGGTGAACTGATTAATAATAATAAAATAAAATTATAAATTAAAAAAATAATTTATTTTTGGCACATATATCTTATATTATATATAAAACCTATTTTATAGAATATAAATGGGCATATAAATAATGTCATATTTAACCTTATACACATTAATCAAAAGAAAGAATGCTAGTAATACTGCAACAATTGAAATTATAATAGGACGTTTAGAATTATCCTTTTGATAAGAAAATATCATTCCGTAATCACTATTATCACAATTTATAGTTTTTATTTTTTCATTAAACTCATTTTTTAAGAACATTAATGCTTTACAAAAATCATGGTTATAATTAGATTCACAATAAGTCTTGTGTTTACTATCTAAAAGAATAAATTTTATTGCACAGCTACATTTTTTATCTGAACTTTCATCATCATTTTTTATACTAATAAGGTATTTATGCATATCATTTATATCGTCGACTTTTTCCATTTCATCGTCAGTGATATTAATGTCTTTGTAATACTTGCACACTTCCTCTATATATTCATTATATTTCTGCAGTAAATAATTATAAATTTGTTTGGTTAGCATAATTCTTTTTTTAGTTTCTTTCTCAGTTTTTTTATATATCCAATAATACATGTATTTACATCCGTCTTCTTCTTTTTTGTAATCATTTACACTACGTATTTCTTTAAAATAAACCATAGTAGTTTTACACAAGGAGTCACTAAGTAAATTAATTTTATCTTCAGGAATTTTGTTTTTTATATTTAAACATGGACTATCGTAGTAATTATTTGTCACATTTTCAGCATTTTTTATAATCTGTTCCCATTTAGGAAATGAATATATATTATATCCATACTAAGAAGTAGGAGCGATAATATAATAGTAAGTAAATCATATAATACTTAAAATATTTTTACTATATATTGTGATAAATTGAATATACATATATTATAATACTGTTATTCATATTAAAATAATTAAATCATACAAAATATTCCTTCATCTTCCCCTATATTATCGTCTTATACGGATAAACATTATGAAATAATATAATTTTGGGAAACTCATGTATGAATATTTGTTAATAAAATTATATTATAAAAATAATAATAATGATAAGATATATTATAATTATATATTTAATGGAAAAAAAAATATACTAAATATTTCATTAATTATTATGCAGCTCAATATATATTAGTAACGATATGCCATATATAACATATATTCTTAGTGAAAAAACAGAAGATATTATCATTTTGTTTAGAAAATATGAATGATATTACATGTCAAAACATAATATTATAGGTATCATCCTATATAAAACTTCTATAATATTACCAATAATAAGAATTTTAATAAAAAAACCAATAAGCTAATATTTGTTATTAATTTGAATGCACATATAAGTATGCATTTTGTCTAATACATTGTAATTTTTATAATGAAATATATAATTTAATCTATAATGTACTATATGTTAAAATAAAATGTGCTCTATTGTTATATATTTTGTAAATTTATTATTATCATATGATATATGATAGAGCTTCTTAAAATGGTTTATCCTAATATATATCGTATATTTCTAATAATAATAAGAAACATATATTATCATTTTAATAATTCATTTTTCAATATAAATTAATATTACATATATAATTATATATAAATTATGTGCACATAATAGATATATGTGTTGTATAATGTTTGAATTATTCTGATTAAAATATGATAATTTTTCCTAAGAGAAAAATAATAAGAGTTTTAAACTTATGAATTATATAATACACGTATGTTCTTTAAACATTTTTAATATTATATTATTCATCTATTTATAAATATGCCTATTTATTAAATTAATCATCTAAAAGTTATAAAATATTAATTATTGCATATTATTTTTATAGGATATTACACAAAGTTATATTGTCCTTTTATTACGTTCTCTCATTTTTTATAATATTTTTACATTTCGTCATTTAAAAATAGGCTCTTACATTATTACAAATTATATATATATGAAATAATTAATTATAACAATATATATTTCATTGAAGAAATCATAAAGTATATAAATACAAAAAAATTATTTATACTTTTCTCTTATTATATAAGAAATTTTTTTTAATAATTCGCATTCCCAAGATTTCTTGAATTCTATGTTTAAATATAAGAATATGTAATCTGTTTTTTTTTCTAAAATAAAAATTACGCTGTAAATAATGCAAATTTAATATACAATTATTTAATATTTATTAAATATAGATTTATTTAAAATTAACACATTTTTACTATAAGCATAAGAAAAAATAATCAGACTATTATATATAACCTAAAGAGAACTAATTTTTCATTTATATAAAATTATTTAAAATAAAAATTATAATTTTTCATAAAATTAATTATTTCATCATATATGAAATATACTACTCATTATTGAAAAATTTTCTTATTTACAAATGACCTTTCTCTTCCTTATTTATTCATATATTTTTATATTAATAGTAACTTATTACGAAAAAACTTTTCTAATAATATTTTATTTAGATATTGCATAAGTTATTATAATATACATAAATAAGATTTAAATAAATTCATACTAAATAAATTGAATGGTATATGTATAACTAATAGATGCTTATATACATAGGGAAATATATTTTTCTTTACTACTTAAAATATAAACGAAAAAGATATGTATATAAATGTTATCTGAAATATTACTTTATTAAAAATTTCAATAGTAATATAAAGGTTAATAGTAAAAAAAAAAAAATTAAAACATGTATGTAATCATATTAATAATAGGATATATTTTGATAATACATAAATAGAAAATGTTGATACTGCAAATTAGCAAATTCTTTTGTTGTAGTGGTTCCATATTAAATAATATTTTTTTAGGGTAAATGCTTTAGAAATATAAATAATATTATTCTCATTATTAAATTTATACTTCTTTGTACTAAGTGTTATTATATGTAAAAATATAAAATATCTAATAGTTGTTTTATTTGCATATCTTATTAATATATACTCTTCCATATATTCATGAAAATTTAATGTCCCATTTAGATAATTTTCTTTACTTATTGTTCCTTTTGCACTATTGATTTCAATGTATTAAAAAAGTGTATATACATATTTAGTATATTCATTATTCTATATAAAAACAAATATAAAATATGCCATATAAATAAAATTTTTATATTGTTACATAAACATTCATGAAAATTATAAAAAATAATTAAAGAAAGCATTGAAAGGAATGAATTAATAATAATCTAATAATCCTATTAGGTAAATATTTTGTACGATAATTACACTTCTAATTACATAATGACACATATAAACTATATAATTCATTATGGTAACATCCTAAAAGATATTTTAACTTCATATTTTTTTTCAGAGGATTGGATGCTAATATACTTTAGGATATTTTCATTAAAATATTATTATATTTACATAAAAATTATTGGATATATAAATAATTGTGTATTATAAAGAATTATAATTAATACTTTCATCTTATACTAAAATTCTATCACTTTTTATATCATAATAGTTTTGTAAATTAAGCTACGTATGCAATATCTGTTTCATTTAGTGTTCTGTAATGCGTTATTTTCTAAATTACTTCCTCTATTAAGAATAACTTTTTTTGTGTTTTTAAAATTGTTTTTTTAATGATTATTCATCAACATTATTAAATAATATTATTACATTTATTCTCTATTCATTCCCTTTAGGGAGACTGGTAAGAGTCTCAAAGAAACCCTTGACGTGTATAAGAATTAGGTTATTATGTACATTTAATCTGAAACTAGTTTATTAATATATATTATAAATACTATGTATAATACCTTAATTTTTACTGGTATTTTCATTTTAATTTATGTATTAGTGTATCAGCTAAAGAAACATCAACATGTAAAGTAGCATCTTAGGCGATATTAAGACAAGTTGTACGTTCGTTTTGTTCATATCAAAAACTCCATAACAGTAGATGTTTTTGTGATATATCACACTCCAAGGTAAATTTAAGTCATGGTAACATTATGTCCATTGGTTATAATCCTGAAGCTTGGATAATATGTTATCATGTGTATTTATTACATTAGGAAATTTTGACAAATAATCAGAATTAATTTTTTCATATTTTTAAATTATACAATAAAATGTAGAAATTTTGTTAAATTAGAAAATGATGTTGTTTTTTCATAACAATATTTTGCATAAGTATGTTAATTATGAATATTAAGACGACTTCGTCCTTTTAGAATGCTTTAATTTACCATAATATAATAAATAATGCAATAAATTTTTCAACATTATCATGTTAGAATATTGATACCTATTATCTCAATTATATATTTTTTTGCATAAACAATGAATGTACTATTTTTTTTTTCCATCTAACTGAATTTAAGTATGCCAAATTCTAAATACATATGATGAATTTACTTAATCCATTAATGTTTATAGTTAAATTAATCGAGTAACTTAAACTACTATAATATTTAAACTGTTGTTTGTTTTCATATATGTATTGCTTTATCTAATGCATTCTTTCTATATAATCGGAATTCATGTCAAAATATTTATGTTAAACTTTTCTTATAGCAGGAATACATATATATTTTAACAATTTATATAATTTTTTTTAAAATTGGTGCATACAATAAAAATATTTTTATATGTTAAGATTAAAACACTATTATTTATATTAATTAGTGTATTCATTTATTTGTTTACAGAAACACATTCTAATATAATTTTAGTACATAAACCTCAGTAGTAGATATGACAACACATTTTATCCAAATAAAATGAAAAAGCATACATAAATTTCATATAAAATAAAATTCTGATGAAATATCTAAAATGTAAAGGTGAAAACATAATAAAGTTATTATTGCTTTAAAAAATATTTATATAAATCTTAATTATTATGAATATCGTGCTAGCATCTCATACTATTGTATCACATATAAAATAAATAAACCTATATAGACGTTATAAATAATATTACATAATGTACTCGGTACTATGCATTTTATATATAGATAATAATATACTATATCTCGTTTTATATTATAATACGCTATATCTAATTAAGAAGCATAAAACATTGAAATAATTTTCCTTTCATTAATATTATAGTTGAGAGAAAATATAAATCTATATATATTTCTTGCACAAAGGAAGGCATAATATAAGGTAATATTTCAAAGAACATAAAAGAAAATACATATATAAGAACTTAAACTAATTTCTAAATAGTTCAATATAATATATTGTTATTACATATCTAGATTATAATGTTTAAACATCTGTATAATATAAAAAAATTATATTACAAAAATTTTAAGTAGTAGTATGTTTATAATACCTATGCAGCATAATTAACAAAAAAAAAAATGACATCTAATATATTTTCACTTAGAGAAAAAGAAATTTGATGTGTATTATAAATTACAGAAAAATATGTACATTTATTTAATTTTAATGTAACAATATATTATATTAATAATAAGAGAGAAACAAATAATTAACAAAATTTTAAATATATATATGTTCTTAAATATCAACAATTTCTAATTAACTCATGTACAACAATTCATTCAAATATTTATATACATGAAAATCTGGTATGTTGTACAAATACATGGAATACATACAAATTTCATAAATATACAGAAACAAAATGTTTTTTTTAGTGTAATATATATATTTCTAATATATAACAAAACATGCAATAGTTAAGATGGAAAATTACAAAAAATATATTAATTTTGATCAGGTATAACATTAATATATATATATGTGCTAACACATAATAAGAGGGGAAAATAATAAAGAATTAAAGAACTTATAATACATTTAATGTATTTTTTTTATTCTATTATTCAAAATAAAAAAACTATTTAAAAAAATTTATATATATCATTATGTTACAAATTTATTAATACATGATGGTACAGTATTTATTACCACAACACATATTTAATATTATAATCATATTTACGAAATTAATGATATTACTTTTATTTTATTTTTCTATTATATGTTTTAATCTTACATAGTATTCATATTTTATGATAATATATAGAACTATTAAAGAAATTATTATAATATTATAAGTAAAGCAATAAGACATAAATTCTTTATTGAATCATATATTTTATTAAATGTAGAAAATCTACATTCACCAACTTGTCCACTTAGTAAATAAATAAGCGCTGGAGTTCCAGATAATGGAATAAAAAAACACATAATAAAAAGTAAAATATATATAATCATATGCATGATTTCTACTAAAAACGTTTTTGTATTTCTCTAATTTTGATTAATATTATCTAATTTCTAAATATAATATAATATAATATTTTTTTTTCAACATATCTATCAGTTTTTTTTAATATTCTATATACAAATAACTTCTATTTTAACCATTATTATAACTCTGAAAAGAATTTTTTCTACGTTCCCTTTCTATTTTACATATTTATATATGATATCCTTCAGTTTCAACCCCCCTATTATCTAGATAAAAACTAAAATTACATTTTAATTCTGCTTGTTTCCGTTTCCTTTGCATTTCACGTTTTGCTAATAAACGTTCTGACATGATATATAAAGGCTTATAACCCTTGAATGTATTATGTGAAGATTTATTAATTATACACTGAATAAAAAAGAAGTATTTAAATAATTTGTAAAATAAATTCATTCATTTCAAAAATATATATCCCTTAAATATAAATTATTTTATATATATAAGTATTCATATACAATATTATAAAACCTCATTATTGTAATAATTATATATAAGTCCTAAAAAGAAACATGTAATGATATTAGCAAATTTTACAATCTTCATATTTTCACTGATAGTGCATATATTAGATATTAGAATAAAAATGATGGGTAATATATTTTTATATTTAATATCTTAGAAATAGAATATATTGGCAATATGTTTTATATATGCATATACTTATAGGTATTGTTAAATTAAAAAAAAACTCAAAATTTACACATGTTGAAGAATTTAAAATTTTATATTAAAATTATAAAATGGAAAACTATAACAATGTGAATTATAAAATCTCATATGTATTAATACTAATTATTATTATTTTAGAAATGTCCTTCAGTACATTTATCTTAATAAATAGAATAAAATAAATACATAAAAAATAAAGTATAAATAATTTTTGGAATATATACGTGCTTGATACTATATAAAACTAGTATATTGTTATTTAAATTAGTACATTATTAAGTATGGGACAATGAAACAAAGTTCAAAGTTTTTTTTTTTTTTTTTTTTTTTCATGGTATCATTCTTTTATTAAAAATATTGTATTCATTATAATTGCATAATATTGAGAAGCAATTTATATTATACATTTATATCCTTTTCTATCACAAATTTATTAAAATAATTGTTAGACAAAGGTTTTAGATTAATTCGATCTGATATGACTGTATTAATGTATATATATAGTAAAAATATGTATAATGTAGAACTTTTTTTTTAATGTTAAATAATTAAAACAGAAAATATAATAGATTTACAGAAATATTAAGTAAAATATATTTTATATAAAAAATTTACACTCAAATAATAAATACATTAATCAAAATTTTTTATATGCATTCTATGCTCAGTGAGAAGGATGCAGATTAACATTGTTTAATAAAAGTCGATTCCATGTTGGAATAATATATCAATTTATATATTCTCCTATTGGTAATTAACATACGAACCCATTAGATAAAAAGATGATATTATTAATTAACTGAGCGTATATGTAAGAAACAACAGTCTGAATAAACAGAGGTGATATATATTGGAAAAATGAATACTATTAATTGATGTATCATTCATTCAATTATGAAGTGTAATGGGTAAATTGCATATGTGAAGCATTGTCAAATTTGAAATAAGATGAAAAAGGACCAAAAGTGATGGTATATTGTGTAATATCAGCTAATGTGACTGAACAGAGGAAATAATGTTTAATATAATAATTTTTAGCAAATTCATCTGAACTAACGTTAACGGAAATTAGGTAAAAAATAACATGTAAGGAAACATTATATGTTAATTATAAAATATATAATTTTTAATTAACCTTGTAAAATATGAATAGTAGATGTAGAGTTATTTATATGTTTAGATGTCCTTTACAATCAACACGTGGAAACTGTTTTGTTATATCAAAAGCATATAACTTCACATTTTTATTTTTATATAATCATTATCTTCAAATATAATTTTTTTCTAGTTATAAACAATTACGCGGAAATTTATATGATAAAATAGGGGAAATTGTCGTAAAATATTACTCTTATATATCCTAAGAGCAATAAATAAAAAAAAAATGATTATAAAGCACTTACGACAGTATGTGAAAAATTAAAATCTCGTAAAATATTCTAAAAGGAAATATTTTTTTGAAGTTAAATATATTTGATTAACTTAAAAATTTAGAGAATTATATTATTTGTATGTTAGGCAGAACTCCAATATTTTTAGTGATAAATTTTCCGAAAAAAAAAAAACATATTATTTATAATTTATGCTCACTATGGATAAACTTTTAAATATGTATGTTCTTAATTGAACATTATTTTTTAAATTTAATATTTATTTAGAATAAAAATCTTCAAATAGTTCCCATATTTAAGTAATTTTATCATTAATTATATGATATATATTAGTAAAGTTGAAATTAAAATAATTTAATATTAGACAACAAATTGATCACCGATACTTTCTATTTCTAATTATTGGAAATTGTACCATAATTTTATAAAATGTATTAACGAATTAGTTATAAATTGATATAAATAATTAAAATTTTTACGTGATTATTTAAAAAACTTATATGAATTCTTTAAGAATAATGTTTTCTTTTAAGATTATGCATTTTATTTTGCACGTAAATGCCTGTATAAATTATCTTATTATAATATGAAAACAAATACATTGGGTAAAGAGATAAAAAAAATTAAAATATTTCTGAAAACTCTGTGATAAAATAAATATATATTTCCACTTCAAAGATCTGTTCATGCATCTATATAAAATAGATTATACTATTAATTATAACTCCATTTTATATTATATAATTTTCATTATATTTTATCAGTTTCATTATATACAAAATAAAAAAAATTTATATATTTAACTTATAAAAAAATATAATTAATTTTCTATATAAAATATTTACATTAGATGTATATTGCTTTATAAGAATATATAATTTTTATTATAATTACTTCACTGCAGTGTGTTCTTGAATAAGACATTGAATTATAAAGAATAGTTTACTGCACCATAAAACTGATAATGCGAATAATTTAACATAGAATTATTCACAAAAGATAACTAAGAGCAAGTACTTTATACGAGCCAACATGTCACACAATCAGGGTAATGCATTTCATACATGTATAATATGGAAACATAATTATATTTATATGTATGAAGTGAGAAACCTTACAGAGAAGTAAATCCTATATTTTAGAAATAAATATATACAAATGTTAATTACAAAAGTGTATATAATAGAATTTCCAAGATTACTCGTAACATGTTCCATGTATAGTTCATGTAATATGTAATATCTTATTTAACAACCTTGTTATAGGCACTGATGATTATAATAAGTACATAATTAACAATAATGTATTAAATTTTTAATAATATTCCTTTACGGGAAATATACAACATTAGTTAAAGAAGAGAATTTTTATTTGTACATTAATATACGGTTATGTACAATCATTGCAATGATAATATACATATTCTACTACTAATGTGACTATTCTATATAGTTATGAATTGATAATATAATTATTTTCTTTATTTTAAAGTTTCAAAGGTACTATGCCATCTACAAAATATAACCACGTATGTTTATATTTTTGTTAAAAATAATTATAACATTTTCCAATTATAAACATATTTTCTTACATAATAAAATTGTATATAGCATCCATATATGCTCTAAACAAGGTAACACAAATTATTATGTTCTTTTCCATCTTAGTATATTTTGGTAAGATTATTTGACAACTATAAAATAATAATAAAAGAAGATTTCAAAGATTACAAAAAATGTGAAGAAGAGAATCCATGCAAAAATGATGATCCATGTGAATATAAGGAACTGTGCGAAAATGATGAAGATAGTGAAAGAGTTCAATCCTGTGAACACTATATTAAGGAATATGTGAAGAATTTTAATTTTGACTTAAGTAGTACATGTCGAACAGTTACACATTATTTACAAAATCAAAAAAGTACAAACGAAATTAACACTTATGTTGGCTGTATGTATTTATATTATTGGTTATATAATGATCTCCTTCATAAGAATAAAAATAGTGTATATATTAAAAATCTTTATGATGCATTCATCAACGCATTTAATAGGAATACCGTGACTCCTATATGCAGTGATTTTAATATGCATCTCACACAAGAAGTATTGGAAAATCTGAAAGATATATATGAAATCAATACTAAGCTTTATAATTTTATAAATGGAAGAGGTGAATGTTCAGGAGACAGAAAGTGTAAATGCGGTGAAGAATGCGCGAATACATATATGAGACATCAAAAAAACTGTCAATCAAATCAGTACCCAGATTTTTGCAATGCATTAAAAAATATTAGACAACAATATAATGAAGAAATGGAAAAGGAAAAATGCAATAATATTGAATACCAAATTTTACCAATTTTCCAAGCAAAGAATATAAGAGTTTCTCCTTTAATTCCAATTGTTATAATATTAGTAATATCTATTTTTTTATTTAATATATATAAGGTTAATTAGGATATATAGGAATATATATACTCCAAAACAATATTTTCTAATTATTAGTAGAATAGAAAAAAAATTATTATAAAGTAATTATATTTTCAGTGCATATATTTTATTTTTAATTATGAATTAGTTTACAACATTTGGTTCATACTTTCGCCGTATTATAAAAAGGAAAAGGAATAAATGGAATAATATAGTTGAAGAATACAATATGTTCCAAAATTATGAAACTATGAACAGCATTCCAAAGAATAGTATATATAATATAAAATACAGTTCTGTCTAATTCTGCTATTATATATATAAATGGAAGATAGAACATTGATTAAACGTAACAATGGTAGGATTAAACTAATAATATAAAGAACTATTCCCATATGCTTATAAAAAACATGGAAATATTTATAACAGTGCAAGTTATATATTAATTCATCAATACAAGAAGACCATATTTAAAAGAATCACATCATTAATTGATAAAAAAACATTGGTTTCGTCTGTAAACACTAAACTAAAAACTATGAATAAATATCATACATATAGAGTTTTAATATAAAATTCTTTGTAAATATAAAATTATTTCAACATATAAAACAAAATATTATAAATAGAATAATAATAAAAATATACATTTATAGTATAAAGAAGGAGAAAAATTTAAATAATTTTTATAATGGCACTCATTTTATACTAGTTAAATTCTAATTATATCGTACTACTTTATAAGGTAGTATTATTGAAAAGAGAGTTTTCTTTTATTAAATATACTTACTTATAATTAATTTTGAATGATTACTATTTATATTAATTTGATTTTGTGTTATAATAAATATCCTTTATTACGCTTTTGCATTTATTATATTAATATAGGATTATTGCGTTTTATTTAGCTTATAAGTAAAGGGATATGTGGTAAATGAATGAACATCATGCATTTATTGCATTTACATGGTGTTCCAATGTATTTTCCCATCATATACAATTGTACTTTTGTTTTTTTTTAGTATTATTAATTAATAATGAGAATTATAACAATTTTTATAATGCTGGGGTAAATTCAGTAATGCAAATATCAAGATTGTAAAAAAAAAAAAATAATTAATAGAAATCTAAATATATTTTTAATATGTAATTAGATGCAAAATTATTTCATATAAAACTACTAGAATATAATATATCATATTTGTAACACTAAATATTTTATCATCATATAATTTGATATTTTTCTATACAATGTGATAATAAGAAAGAATTGGGTGTATAATTATGTTATATATTTAGGATATAAATTGCCTATTAATGTATTTTTTCAAAAATGGAGTATAATACATTTACTATTATTATAAAAATAGGATACGAAAAATATATACATAATGTTCTTGTATGAATGCAAAAAAATAATAATTAACTATTGTGTATAAAAAATATATTACTTTACTACATATATATATATTTCTACAATTTTATCATGCAGTAAATTAGGTGCTTTGTAAAAAAAAAAATTTCATAATTCAAATTTTCAATTCATTTTATTCCCTTAAAAAATATATATTAACATTATAGTTAAGTGGTAATGAATTCAAAAAATATATATATATATTTGTATGCTAAAGTAAAAATATGTATATATACTTTAATTAAAAGAACTAATCCAATTTTTTATATATATCTATAGAATATCATATCTATATATAATAGAATACAAAAAATTACTAATAAAAACAATAAATAACGCATATATTATAACAATGTATCTGTATATCCTCATATAAAACAAATGTATAACACATATGCAATAATAATAACATATGTGTATGTACTTATCATATAAATCTGTTTATCTATATTTACATCAATATAGTAACGATGTGTAGTGAATCAATTTTTTTTGCCGATAACATTTATTATTATAATAGATTTAATCACTAAAACATATATATTATATTTATTAGGAAACATACAACGTTGATTTAAATGCGTAATTTAACATATGAATAAAGTCAACAAACAAGAAAAATCTTAAAACCTTCATGAGTCTATAAATCAAAAGTTTCACATGTATGCTTTTAATTCATTTTTTCTATTTTAAAGTATAAAGGAAATATTATGCCTGTATAATTTGCTATATAATATAATATCGTTAATAGTAATATAATTGAAACATACTAAAAAATTATTAAAAAAAAGAAATTTCTTTTAATATGAATTTTTTCATTTTTATAATATATTATTTAATATGATATATAAATAAAAATATAATTATGAATGCACGTAGAATGATTAAAATTACCACCAACGTAACTTTAATTATCTAAAATCGCAAAACTTTATTTTAATAACATACTGATTGAGCATATTCAAAGGAAATTAGCATATATGACGATTTAAATAATATATCCTCATAATATTAATTCATTGTATCTTTTTTTTTACAAACAAATGAATTATGAAATGTAATGTTAAGCATGTGTTTACTTCCTATATAATTTTTTTATAACATTAAGAACATTATATTTTATCCTGATTACACAAAACTTATAATATATTTTAAAATAAAAATATAATTTTTGTAAACTATTACACCATGTACTTGTTTATATATAACTACATTGTTATAAACGTACAAATAAACTTTAAGCATTCTACTGCATCTATTCATACAAAGATGAAAACATGGAATAATTTTATAATTTTTTTATCACATCTATGTCGTAATTGAAAAAAAATTATAATTATCTGATATATAGATTGTGTTATATTTAATATAATTACTACAATCTATGATTTAGTATAAGTTTTTATAAAATATTATTTATACCCTATCTCCTTTAAAAGAATAATTATTATAAATATAATGCATATACTAATTTTACAGGCATGTATTCCGTATATAATAGAACTATATTGGATAAAAATTTAATATATAATAAATGTAACATAATTTGTTCAATCAATTTATATGGGTATATTAGTCTGTTTTTTTACAGTATATATAATTTAAAATATAAATTGTTAAAAATTATATTTATACTGTATAATGGTTATTATAATATAGAAATAAATGATAAGTTATTATGAGTAAAGATAAATTTTTTAAGCAAATATCGGGGGAATAGCATAAAGAATTAATTTCTGGTAATGGATATTTTTGTGGTAAAAAGAGATCAGATCCCTTTTATTTTGTTATTACCATATTTTTTTTAAATTTTCGTTAGTATTATTGATGTTTTTTTATATTTTATAAAGAAAAAGCATATTATATGATAAACTAAATAAACTTTAAGATATTATTAATAATTCATTGTCATTAAACATACAAATACAAAGGAAATATAATATAAATTTTATTATATCCTCATTTTTTTGTCAGTTAATGCCTTTTGAAATATGGGTATGTAGGCTATAATTTTGAAGATATCTTAAATATAAAAATCGTCAAGTATCTCTAAATAAATTCAGATATATTGATTAAAAATATTATAATATTAGAACACAAGGAATAAGATTAAATATAATGTATCAATCTATATAACATTTACAATTCATATATTATATGCAATTTAAATCATTGTAGGCATACATTATTATAATATAAGCAAAGGGAACTGAATATTAATATATGTATAATATTATTAAGGATAAATAACTGAAAGGAAAATATTAATCATATAATGTATTTCATTTAAATGTATTCCTTCATTCATTTAATATATTATTTTTTTTTAAACTATTTTTTGGGTTTTGTGTGCTTATTAATTTTAATGGTTTATATTTTATTTTGTTTGAAGTTAAATGTATAATTTTATATAATATGATATTTTTCAAAAATAGTTATTGTCATAGATATGTTTTATTATATGTATTATGATAGTACAGTTTAAGCTAAAAAATGTCTGATAGGCATATAATAATTTAATTTATTAGATTCTACAAATATGATGTAGCTTCTATTTTTATTATATATATATTTCACTTTAATAGATGTTTATAATTTACTTACATACTAAAGAAGGAATAATATATTTTTATCTTTCCTATTTTAGGAAAATACTTTTATTTCCATTTTAATCAAAAATAACATACATATTATATTACATTCTTTTATAGAGGAAATTTAACAATATTCTTTTTAGGAAATATTATGAGCAGTATATTATTAGGAATGTACTTCTACGAAAAAATCTACTTTATTTTTACATTTTTAAAATTATGAAAAAAAATGGACGGATACTTCATTTTATATTCTATAATTCTATACTTATTTAGGGCACTTTATATAAAAACGGTCACTATATATATTTCTAATCATATGTATATAATGTATGTATACAATATAGAATTTAAAAAATTGGAAATTTTTATTATAAATGCATATGCATATAAAAACATATCCATCATTCTACTTAATAAAAACGATATTATATTTTGTGATAGGTATGTATAATATTACAGTATATAATAATGATTCGATATTAAAAGTTATTTTATTATAATATTTCTTTTTATAAAAACGTTAAGAGTCTAATTTTCATAACATTCAATATTGTATTATATACAAATTTTTTTTTAATATATATTTGTTCGTTTATAATAAATAGAATTACATATTAAACGCAATTTTTTTATATATAGAATCTCCTGCTATTTGTAACGCAGTATTTATTGTAAACCTTTTCATAGACAAAAATATTTTAACATTTCTGTTTTTATTATTTTAAAGTACTATGAAGTAAATAAAATGAAAAATGTAAATATAACATTTTATTTAATTTATAATATTATACAATGTGGCACAATTTATAATAGCATTTATTTATGTAATTTATATGAATACTTATTATTTTTTCCTTAAAAATTAAATATATTATATTAATATAAATGTTTATATAATACGTATCTACATAATTATACTATAGCTTGTAATAAAATAGACATTTTAGCTGTATATAGTGACTATTTAAATAAATTATAAAAAGAGTGTAGATATCAGATACTTATGTAAAAAATATATTGTTTTTATATTTCATATTATTCGTTGCAATGTAAATTTTGGAAACTTGTCTGTCTTATAAGATATTTATGTACATGATCTTTGTTGCAAGAATGCATATATTAAATAATTAAAATAATTTTATCATTAAAATAAAATGTCATAAGATAATCATACTTTGTATGCAGTATTTTTATAAAAAAAACAATTTTATTAAGAGTATTGGATATATAATTGCTGACTACGCCTGTCTATTTATCTTCACTATAACAAGAAAAAAAAATGTAATAATTCCTTTTTTTATTTTTTGTCACTATTAAAATCTTAATTAAATGCATTAATAATTATCATTGTAATATTACATATATATAACTATAGAAGAAACAAGTAAATATGATTAATTTTAATTATAAAAAATACTAACAAAAAGAAAAAAAGTTCATTCTAATTTTCTCTATATGTTTTAAATAATATAAGTAACAGAAAAAATTTTATAGCTTTAAATATAATGCACATTGACATTTATGTTTTCAGGAACACATATATTTTTTGTTAAAGTATGAAAATTTGTAAATGCCATTTACATATTAAATTTTAATTTATTCAGAATATAAAGCTAATATGAGTAAAATTTATTTTCTAGCTTATTAAATCATATTTCGATAACTATTTATAGTTCGTATGTATACTTACAATAAATAATATTATAAATTAAAAAAATTAAGAGTATTATAGTTAATAATTGCTATTTTTATTCATTTCTTTTATTATAGAATATGGTGTGGAATCGTCTTACTGAATACATATATTACACAGTATTTATGCCATATTAATATCAATAAATGCTTCTTATATAAAATTAGAGGTATTTTGTTCTTTATTTTGTACATAAAAGTGCGTAATTTGTTGTTGTTATTTTTTACATATAGACAATGTATTTATAAAAATAATTTAATTTGTAGAAAAAACGGAAAAATTATATCTTTTTGAGTATATTTTTTAATATTGATATATAGGTATAATAATTTTTTGTAATTTAATATCAATGTATCATTATTTAAAAATATATATATATTTAAATCGTATACTGAAAAAATATAATATACTGAATGAGGAATTTTTTAAATTATGATAATTGTACCATTATTTTTTAGTACATGTATTTTAATTTTTTAAAAAAAAGGATAATTATATATTATAAACTATATTTTTCTCACATAATATAAAACAGCTTTAAATTTATTAAATTTTTAAGACTAATAAATATGTAATTATACATTGAAAAATAATTTTAATTATTTTAAAACGATGATGTTTATAATTTATATATTTAAATAAAAGAAAATATAATGTATATATTCTACCCAAATCTATTATTTTATATGTTTTTTTATTTTAGTATCTTTTATTTTTATTCATATATTGGTGGTATTATAGGGAAATTTGAACATACAAAAACAATTTGTATTTTATAAAGGAATATTAATTTTCTGTTGGATTATTAAATATTTTATGATTTATTATAATTTTGGTGTAATATATAGGGTATGTGTCTTAAAATTATTAATTTAGGAAATTTTTATTCTGTCTTAATTTAAATAATTGTACTTATAAGAAGAAAAAATATATAATCCAAATAAATAGCATAAATAATATATTAAATTATTTTCTACTCGCTAATACTTCCAAAAATTCTTTTTATGCATATAAATTTTGACACACTTTTTACTAATGTACATCACACTATATGGCTAACGAACAGTCAAAAGCTGTGAGTCTACGTTTATATTTATTTTAAAAAATTATATGTTGCACACTGCTTAAGTGTTATATGATTTTAAGTATTATTTGTGACGAAATATCATTTTTATTTACTTATAAATATGAAAATACATTTTTATTTCTAGTATAATTTTTTTAATGAAATTGGATGGTATATGAAACTAGAAAAAGACCTTAATGGAGAAGATCCTAAATTAGGTATTCGTAGAGTATATGCTCCTTCAGTAGGTACTCCTGCAGTATTAATTCCTGTACCACGTGCTCATAATAGTGATTTTGAAGGTTCTGTTGATGGTGATCTTGCAGGAGAGGCTCTTGATAAAGATGTTGAAGATCTACTTGGTGATGATACTCGAAGACATATACTTGTTAGTAATCCTCAGCCTGTTACTGAAGAAGGTATTAATAATGAAAGTATTATTAAAGTTATTAAGGAAAAATGTAATTCCATTTCAGGAGGTATTCCTTTGAGCCATGGTTTAGGAACAAAAATTTGTATACAGTTTTTTAATCTCATTGAAAGAATGCCATTTTTTAAGGTGCAAAAACCGGATAAAAATACTTATGCAAGCGATTGTGGATTTTTAAACTACTGGTTAAACTATAGGATAAGAAACGAAAATACAGATTGCAACCTTTGCGTCCAAAATTTTTATAAGGAATTTAAAAATTTTATTGAAGATATTAGCAGTAATCATATGACAAATTGTCATATATCTGATATCAATGAGAATGATTTTGAAAATATGAAGTTATTATATGATTTACATAATTATTACGACAAAATTAATAATTATTTGTATTATAATTCAAATGATGATGATGATAAACCCTGTTCATATTATATAGAGAAATGCATTAGTGAATATAAAAAGCTTGAACCCAAGTGTCCCAACAATGATGTTTATTTTTGTAAGGCCTTTGACGAATTTAAATATACACTTAGGGAACTTTACTTTGTGTCGAACTATTCAAATAAATGCGAGGCGTCACTTTTAAAAAAATTATCCGAATTAGCTGGGGTGTCAGAAATTTTTTCTAATTCAGAAGAAAGTGGATACACCATAAATGCCACGTTTTTAGGTGAATCAGGAATAGGAAATAAAATGAAAAACTTGGTAATATCAACAGTGTTATCAATGATGGCTGTGTTATTTATATGTTTGTATACTTATAAGGTAGAGAAAAATGTTCATATTTTTAGTATAAATATGTTATAAGAGATATAAAAAATATTAATATAACATATTTCATTTTTAAATACATTAAAATATTTTATCACTGATTAATAGTACACAACTTTTGGACCAAGATTATATAATATAATACAAAGGAAAATAATGGATAGAAAAAATATGAACAATAAAAATAAAAATACAATGCTCCATATTTCTGAAGAACATAAAAGGTATTCAAGCATTGGAGAATACGCTATATTATATTATTAGAAGAGAAAATACAATATAATGTATATTTCTACATCACAATGCATACAAGATAAAAATATATTACATTAAAACGAAAATATTTAAATATAAAACATGATCCATAAGCATATTTTGGTGCATACTCACCTTGTCAAATATTATTAGATATTTATTAAGAATATTCCAATTCAATAATACTTAATAACCATTTCATCAAATATATAAAACAATAATAAAATTTAGTAATACATAATGATTAGCAAAAATAAAAAAAGCAGCATGTGTCACAAAATTATCTAATTTACCATAATTTTGTATGATATATTACATTATAAGTATATGTAGTAAAAGAGAAAAATAAAATAAATATTGTAGGAATTTATATATTATATTACTGTTAAATAAAAAACATTGTGATTTATACGTATAGTAATCACCTAAAATATATGTGAATAATGAAAAGGTGATTTTATGAATAAATGTAGAATAGACACTATGATTACTGGTGAATATAAATATATTATATTAGTACTGTAATTTAGGGAAAGAAAAAATTTATTATTATTACTAGTATAGTAAGTTATAATTATTTCTTCTTCTACTTATATAATTTAATACATGCATTTTTAAATTTATATACTAGTGTAAATTTAAGATATATTAACTGTTCGTGGATTATTAAAATAAATATATATATATTTTTAGAAAAGAACAATAATTAGCATTCGATTAAAATAATGATGTATAAAATTCAAAAAAACTAAATCACTTTTGAGAAGTATCAAACAATTATTTGTTTCTTTTATGCTAAGTAAAATTACATTAGTAAACCTATTATTTTTTTTATCTATACTTTAACAGTTAATTAAAGTAAAATCCTGTAAAATTATTGCACGCACATCACACCGAAAATATTATATAAAATGATTGAACACTTTTAATAAATATATATAAATATATATTACAGGGAAATACGTAAGATTTTAAACAATGTAATAATATTGAAATATAGTTATGAATATTATTTATCATCATTAATAGGTGTATAGAGTTTATAAAATAATAGATAATATATTATCATAAAAATATGATAATATAAATTTATTACATGAAAGCGTACTATTATTACATGTATATATTATTTAATATATATATGATAGAAATATTATACCATATAATACGATAAAAAATAATAAAAATAAGTGAAAATATTATAACTTCTACTTACACTTATACAATTACCATATTAAAATGAAGAATTCATTTCAATTGTTACTACTGTTATAGCAATTATTTATATGTACTCTACTTGCAATAAAATAGTAATACATTTTCTCTTTGTAAATCGCTAATAATATAAAAAAATTTATTATGTACTAATAGAATTCATATCCTAAAATTATTATATTTTTATGGAATATATGTATCATGTATTTGTTATAATTATAGTTTTTCTTAAATATGATAATATATTTTGATTGTGTGTATTATATATTTGTTCGTTTGAATATATAGAGAGAAATATTATAATATGAAACAGAAAAATTACCTGTTATATATATTGTAATATTTATAACAAATATTTAAAGAAGCACATGTTTATTTAATGTAGTTACCATATATATATTATAATTTTTATAATTATATCAAACTAAACAATTACCACTTGACAAATAAATATATATATTTTAAGCTTTGGGATATTTTACAAAATAGGAAATTCCATTAAATTTTAGTTATTCCCATTATTAATTTATAAAATTATTAAATTATATTATAAATATATACTAATAAAGATCAAAAAATATATATTACACTCTACATAAATCCAATGTGCTTAAATACATGCATTATATGTACTATGATTGAAAATGAATAAATATAAATTGATGATTTATGAAAGAATGTAATAAAAAAATATAATACTTATCATGTAATATTACATAATATTGTTTTTTTTCTAATTTTTCTTTTGTATCCCATATTATATATATATTTAATAAAAATATTTTATTAAGAAATTTGTTCCTAGATACCTTATACCAAAAAAATTATACTATAAATATATTAAATGTTAATGAAGAATAAGCAAAAATATATAATTCATATACACTATGTAATGAAAATTTATATAATATTTCATTTTTTTTTAAATCATATTTAGATTTAAAGATATATTATTTTTTGTATAATTTGGGGAAAAACTTTGTATATATTATTCATACTGTTCCTTATTTACATATAATTAATAGCTTTAAAAACTCAAAAACAAAAATTATATTAAATAATTAATAACGAAACATCTTTTTGCAGAAGAAAAATAATTTAAAAAATATAATATTCATTCGAAATTTACAATATGAATAAATTATATAATAATTTACATATATTCTTATAAAATATTTAAAACAGTTTACTAAAAATGAAATGAAAATATAATTCGTTCACATTAAATTAAGTTATAAATTTAATTCTTAAAAAAAAATAAAAATATATTACCTAATATACAGTTGTTCTTATTTTTACAATATATTTTATAAATACTAATATATATTTTATATATATGGAAACAAAAATGGATTAAATCCTTATTTTATGAAAACAGATTATTATAACATAAATCTATGAGATATTTTATTATAGTCTAAAGATTTTATTTAAGAAAAAATATATATACATTAGATATTCTCAATTTCCCTTAAATACATAATTACATGTATTAAAGTTTAGTAATAAAAATAAAAAATATATATAAATATTAATATTAATTTTCATAAAATCATACAAATGTGGTATCCAAAACAATTCAATTTAAATATATTTTTTCAATATTCAATGTTTGAATAAATATATAAAAATATAACCTTTATTATTTGCTTTTTGTAACGAATAAAAATATTCTTAATATTATCAGGCTATTTAGAGTATTGATAAATATATTTTATCAAAAGAATACTAGGAAATAATAATTATATACCAAGAATATTATATTTATAGAGACTAAAATTAATAGGAATAAATGTTTACTTAATGTTTACAAATATTTCTTATTTAATATGTTCTATAAATGACATTCTAATAATATTATTATATAAAATATAGAATAATATATATTACAAGTTATAATCAATTATTACTAATGAAATACGTTATGTACAGCATACACATATAATTTTACATATAGGTGCAAATATATTTTAGTAAATTATATATATGTAAATATGCAAAAAATATTGTTTTTATTTTATCTTTATGAATATCATCAAATTGTGGATATATAAAAATTTTTATATATTTTATTGTAAAAAAATGCAGATATAATTTTTACAGTTCGAAATGATATGAATTAGATACATTCAAAAATTTAATAATAATGTCTAAATTACGTAAATTAATATGATTTATTTCTTAAAACATAATATATTTCTCAACTTTTAGGATTTATTAATACTTCTTTGTTTGCTTATATATATAATAATAATATTAATAATAACTAATGCCATCATATACTCTCATTATAGAAGAATTAATGCAATAGGACAATCATACCTAACTAAATGTTAAGAAAAATATATAATAATAAATATTATATATTATTAATTACGGCATTTATAATTTTATCATTTTGTCGTTTATTATGAAAAATAATATAAATGTTTTGTATAATAAGCTAATATGCATGATACATTGATTTTTAGATGAGCTAAATTTATTTACTTTTAGAAATAGTCTAAATAAAAGTTAAAATTTATTTTTATTACTTTGACTGTACTGTTTTCATAAAGGATTTTTCTGTGCATTATATAAATTATATTTTTTATTGCTAGGAATGTTATGAAAATTTAATAATGCAAAATATGCAAATTCACACCAATTTTTATTTCATTGAATAAATAATTATAAATACTGATAAAATTATGCTTATTAATCTTCGTTTTCCTAATGTAAAAGATATTTTTCTGTACATATCCTCTATTGAAAACAAATTTACTATTGATGCTCCACATATCATAATATATGTACATATATAACAAATATATTACATTGTAACTTATGACAATATAGTATATAATTTACTTCTTACAATTCATTCTTCTAAAGTAATAATTATATATATCATTAGATTTATAAGTTATAAAAGTTTAATATATTTTATAAATCTGTTTAAATTGATATTCTAATATTTTATAAACGCTGTAGGACAATAAATTTATAATTTTATTAAAAATTTGTTATTTCAGGACACCATAAATATATTATTTATTATATCCATAGATATATTTTATAATAAGCATTCTATCAATTCTTCACATATATTTTGATTATAAAAATTGTTATGTTATCAGAAATAATTTTTCATTCATATTTTTAGTACATATTATCATACGTTTCTTGGTATCATAATCTTCAGAATATTTCAAATTATTTTTTTATTATGTAATTTAATGGCTCATTATAAGTGAATCAATGTTTGATGATAATCTTCTTGTCCATGATAAATAATTAAGGCATCTCATATAATATATATAAAAAGATTTATGTGAAGTAATATTATTATTTCCACAATATTTATGTACAAAAAATGTTATTAAAATAAAGAATGAAACATGTGTATACGTGAATATATTTTGAAACTAAAAGACCTATAAGTAGAGGACAAATATATTATGTAATTATAATAAACATTTGCCTTTTGTATGTTAATATAAATATTATGTTTTTTTATAACATATATTGTGTGCTTATGCATATATAATTGTATTTGTTAACATCGCCATGTATTCTATATTATTGAAGATATCTCTAGAATAAAAGAAGAGTGAATCTCCCTTTTATTGTATCAATGTCTCTTTATAATTTCTTTTACATGTTTCATAAGTATTTAATAAGGACATTTTAATGTTAATAACTTAATTTTTTCCAAATAAATAATGTCTAAGAATTCTAATATGTTATTTGAAAAAATATATGTGTAATTCCTTAAAAAATATTTTAGCATTTTTAGAACTATGCAGAGTTAT